TGTGTTTTAATATCATATTTGTTAAACAGGCCTTTGATTTGCTGTTGGTGTACTACAATAGACCAAATTCTATATTTCACAAAATCATACAGAAGTGGAAATTTGTGGAGGTCTGAAGTTACAGATACAGAAAAATTCTGAAATTCATCTAAAAAATCTTGTTCCTGCAAAGCTTCCAACAAACCAAAAGATTGGTTGATACCTTTCAATTTATCTCTCTTAAGAGGTTCAATATAATTTTTCTCATGCAAATTTATTTCTACATCATAGGAAGCAGTAAAGAACACACAAAATATGGCATGAGCAAATTCTGGACCATTACTACCTCCTAAACTACAAATTACTAATGGAAAATGGATCCAGCATTCCATCCATTTACAAAAACTGTCTAATGCTTTTTTCATCCCATCTTTTATTTTTTTTTCCAGGTGATGATATTCTTCATTTGATAGCAACAACTGGGCATTCTCAAACTCCTTTTCAAAAATCAATACTGGATTTTCTTCTGCTTTCTTGAGTTCATCTATCCAGATAAGAACTTGATCTGGGATTTCATGTGCACAATTCCCAAAAGGCAGGCATCTTGTCTCATCTTCAGTAACTATTCGAGGTAAAGTATCAAATCCAGTTAAAAATTTAAAAACTTTTTCATAGAACATTTCCCCAAATTTAACCATGCATTCTACTTCAATATTTAGTTTAGAATTTTCAAGTCAATTGAAGAATACCTTCCATTTTTTAAGATATCCACTAGGAACATTTTGTGATTGTTCTAGCTCAGTAATAAACCATTGTGCAAATATTAGGTGAGTATTTTTATTTGTCAAATATTGCTGAGCAGTTGTTAGCTGGTATAACCAACAGCTTGATATTGGTTTTTGATAAGTTTTTAGAGGATATTGAAGCAAACACCAGTATAATTTATGTATTGAGTCAGATTTCAATGTTCAAAAGACTTTCTTTATTGCCCTCATTATATCCACCATGTAAGTGGTATGTTAAACTGAGAAGGTTATATGGCTGTTGTTGTTCCAAAGAGAGACCTGATGGAGAATTATTTTTTCCAATTGTTGTAGTTTCAAAATTCACTAATGTAATTTGCAATGCATATAAACCACAAGGTATTTGATAGGAGGAAGACTGACACATCAAATTAAATTTGACAACTGCACCTGATTTGAAACCAGACATATAGGCAATATTATCTGTAAGCCAAAAATTACATTATTTTTGACTAATCTCATTTTACACACATGTTTTTTTTACTGCTTTAGCTACATTACATTTATCTAAGTTATCAGTCTTTGCAATGGTAATTGTAGGCAGATTTTATCTTCATTCCAATGAGCAAAACAAACCAAATAGATCTTTTTGTCACCACATGTACTTTCATCACACATTATTCCACAAAAATAAAAATGAGAATTGGTATCTTTAGGACAATTCTGATGAAGGCATGAAGTAGCAACTTCTTTATTCCAGCATAAAACAGTTCCAGTTGAAAGCCAGTGATCTGGTTCCTTGTCTGTTAAGAAGTGTATAATTGCTCTAGTACATTCAGCAGTGGATGAAATAGTAATACTGCCAGTGTTACTGATTTGGGTTGCAAGATGCATTAATTCAGGCGTATATTGTTTTTTATTTTCTTTTATCATCTTTTTTATTCATTCTGAAGCTGATTAGGAGTAATTTTTTTTTGCTTTTTGTAGTTAGTGATATGATTCTTTTTTTGCCTCTTTAGCTTTCATCTCATTCATCTTAAGGGATCTTAATTGAAGATCTGTATCTCTTTTTACTTTTCCATTTTTTGTATTTTAGTTCCCATTCCATTAATTTTCTCTTGTATTGATGATATGGTTATAAATGCTACTATTTACAAATTCTTGTCTTTTTTTGAATATAGGATGAATATATTTCTCCATGATTGCTTCTTTATCGTACCTCATTGTGGAAAATAGGGTATAAGCATTAATTATCTGATTTTCAGGCAAGTTTTTTACATGCTCAATAAATTCATTTCTCTTTTTTTTTCTATTTTATTTTGTAGAATAAGAGTATTGATTTCATAGATTTCTTGAGGTTCATTAAAGCTAATTTCATGGATTGTTTCTTGGCATTCATCAGAGCTAATTTCATAAGTAATTTTTTTTATTCATTCAAGCTAATATCATTGATGATTTCTTGAGGTTCTAAAGCTCTGAATGGTTCAGTTCAAACTAAAGATGTTAGCTGAAGTTATTTCACTTAGTAAATGATTGTCACCAAATCCAAAATGCTGAAATATTTTTTCATAGTTGCCAAAATTAACTTTATTAATTGCCAAAATTATATGGTTGGCTCGGTCTAAAGACCTCCTATTGCTGCGCCATGTGGCCAAATTTCAAAATAGCAATTTTGTAATTCGTTCAAAATTTTTCAAAAAATAGGACTTCACGTGATTTTAGTTTTCTTACTGCCAAATTTAGATACGATAGTCGAGAGCTAGTCTAAATTTAGTAATATTTTTTCCTAAATTTAGAAATGATCATAGTGGACAAATTCCTCACGAGCATAGTAAAGTCATGTTTTAAAAAAGAATAGAACTCTACAACAAATAATTTTTTTGAGAAAATCTCTCTTTTACATTAAAACTAAAGACATATTCTATCAACTAATAGAGCTATTTTTTTAAAAGGTAGGACAAAAAGTGACTTCTACATTTTTAAAATTTGCCCAAAATTTAGGAGGTCTTTAGACCGAGCCAACTATACTCAAAAATATTTGAACACTTTAACTCAATAGCCAAAATTCTGGGTAGTTTTTTTATGTCCATCATTATGAAAATATTGTAAATCTGAAATTGCGAAATTGATTTTTTCAAAAACCATTTTGGCTAACATCTTTAGTTCAAACCAAAGAATTTTGTTTGGTTTTGGTTTATTCTTTGAACCTAAGGTTGCTTGCCAAAACTCCTCCAGAAATCAATCAGCAGGGTTACAGCAGGTTACACATTAATTGTTTATTAGAGTTTTGGCAGAGTTTTGCATTTTGAGGTTTCACCATTTCGGCATATTTTCAACAGGATTTTTGATAAGATTTAATATAGTTTTACTGCGGTTTCAGCAATTACTAAGAAGGTTTCGCCCACAACCTTATTTGAACCAAACTGTTCAGAGCTTAGGCTAAAAACTAACTGGCAGTTCCTGGTATTCTAATTTTTGCACTGCTTATTAGAATTAAATTTATTAATTTCTAATCTAATAACAACCAGTGAATGAGTTTTTTTCTGGAAGCACAGACTTAATTACTCAATGGCATTGTATTTTAGAGCCTGAAACAATAAGAGTTTAAAAGTTTGCAGAAACAAAAAATTTTATATATGAACTGAAAATAAAACATCTTTAGGGTTTCTATTCAAATTATTTATTTCATTTGTTTAGTTGAATTAAATGAATAAAACTAATAAAACTAATAAAATGAATAAAACAAATGAAATGAATAAAATAAATAAATCAAGTGATTTGAATAAAATGAATAAAGCAAATAAATGAATAATTCAAATAAGAATTTGTATTACAAATAGGAACTCTAAACACACAAATTTTTGTGGTGAATCTATGGATATGTAACAATATAACTTATAACAGCATAATGGAAGTTCTATTTGTTGATCATTTATTGACCTCATTACATGATTATTTATATTAATTTTGCAATATTATCATAGTAAAAATTAGTTGGTCATGTGAAAATATTTTAATTTGTGTTAAAAAAAAAATATTCTTATTTTTTTTAGCAAATGTGATCTTATGTGATCTTACTATTTCCAACACTTATCTTATAGATAATTATTTTACAATAACAATTGGTAATAAAATATTTCTTAACAAATTTACTATCGAATTAAGTTTATATACTTAACATAATCTCTACCAATTCTTTATTTCATTAATAGCACTCAATAATGTTGATGATAAACTTTCTTGATCACTTACATTTAGATTTGCCTCATTTTTATCATTTTCTTTATCAGAATCATTTGAATTAAAACTGTTGATTTCTTTTGATGTATGTTCATCTAATCTTTTTAAAAATGAATTTCTAAACTTCCAAATTGTTACATTATTTATATGATTTTACAATAGTCATCCAAAATTTTTTTTTGTAGGCACATAAATTTCAAGCTTCTTTATCACACTCCATGCCCTGATCAAACCTGATCAACATTTCCAATGGCAGTATTATGAATGAAATTTATAATAAAGAGATTTAGAATATATATATGTATATATTTTAATGAAAAAAAAAACAGCAAACTTAACAGTATATAAAATGACAAGGAACCTGATAATATTACAGATAAGTTGAATTAAAATATTATTTGCAAATTCAATTTTTATGAAAAAATTTAAGAATTGAATTAGGTTATATAATATGAAACCATTTAGAGGTAGATACAAACATGTCATTTTATCATTTTAAATATTTATTTATTAATGATACTTGATTTTTTTAATAAGATATGTAATTAATATTTTGTCACCATGTATTGTTTACTTATATAATATATATTAACATAATATGTAAATGGATACATTGCTAATATTTATTACTATCAATTCATCAAAATAAAAGATTCCCTTTTAAAGATTTATTTTTAAACATAATTAATTGTCTCCGATTGATAAAAATCAAAATTTTATTTTGGCCAATAAACTTGATTAAATTTGTCAATCATTATTGACCAATCACAAAGAAATTACGTCATGCTACTTATAACTGACCAGCTGTATCTATACATGGCACTATGTATAAAATTCAATCACAATCTCCATTCTAATTTTGGTAAGAAATGAATCATCATTACCAGCATCAGTGTTGGCAATTTAACTGGTTCAAACATTTTTTTGAACTATTTGAATGTAACAATTTACTTCGTAATCATATACAACGTCTTATGTAGTACAATAATATTTACATCTGGAAACGTGACACAT